AGGATAAGTCTTCTCCAGCTAAGGAAGAATGGTGCAGAAGACCAATGCACATTTTTGGATTATATAAAACTAGTGTGCGCCCTTTTTTATCGCTACAGTAATCCCATTTTTAATTGCTACAATTTTTAATGCCACAGCATTTTTTATAATGGTACAGTAACATTTTTTAAATGGTACAGTATCCCAACTCAACTCTGCTACAGTGCTTTTTATGCTACAGCAGTGTACTTAAATGCTGTTTCGGTGCCCTGTGCTACAGTATAATAATACTACAGCAAATTACTGTAGCATGAGTAGTGATTCTTGGGTACTCCGATTATTACAGATGAATAGATAACATGTACAGCTTTCATAGTTCCGAACATAGCTTTCCCTAGAAGACCTCAATTGACTCTTTGTTTTAAGTCTTGAAAGGATTTATGAGTGTACTTTTAGTTAAAACCAATGGCGTGTGAATCGCAGGTCTTGAGGACAAGTCTTCGCCAACCAAGGGAGAAGATGCAGAAGATCAGGGAACATTTTTGAATTATACAGGCAACATGTATTGTTTTCATGGTTCCAGACATAGCATTCCCTAGAAGACCTCAATTGACTCTTTAGTTGAAACCTTGAAAACTTTTATGAATCCACTTTCAGCTAAAATCAGCGGTACGTGTACCATAGGTCTCTACAAAAGTTATCATCAAAATAAGAAGGGATGGTCAGATTGGACTGCACAAAGTCTATTATGTTAAATGGGTCTTTTAGTTTTCTATGTTAGTAATGAGTCCTTTAAGTTTTCAATATCTAATGGTTAAAAGCAATGGCGGAACTATTTTTTTTTTTTTTTTTTTGGGGGGGGGGCAAGAATCCATGACACATAATTGTTTGCTATGTATTTCATAAAAAGATTTTTTAATATTAGTTCCTCAAATTTTAAAATATTTTGAAATGGGTCCTCAAATCTCAAAATTGCTATTACGCTTTCCAATTCTTAATGTATTTGAAAAGTAGTCCCTCAAATCATTGACATTGCCATTAAATCTCCAGTTCCCATGATTAACTTGAAACAGTTCCTAAAAATTGGAGGACTTTTTTTGCAGTGTTATAAATAGCGCTCCATAGATGCGCGATAGCAGGAAATCATAGCAGT